AGTAAACATAATGAGAAAAAATTAATTTAAGTATTCATACTTATTAGTTATTAGTTCATTACTTAGTATTTACTCAGTCGTTTTTCTACAGAAGAAAGTTCTCGCTTATTACATATTTTAATTTTTAACTAAACGTATTTTCGTTATATTTATTTTTGATTAAGAATGTTAGACAACACAAATACTATTGTCTAGGTTTTTTTAAATATTTAATTTATTATTTTGAAGGTTAAAAAAAAAAATTTAGTTATCCTTTACACACTCCCGCTACTATATTCTTAGTCGCGTTAGTTGCAAAAAATACATACAAATTGATATGCCACTTAATTTTCAATAATTCGGGTGTCCGGTAAACTCGAATAGAAATTCGGGTTTCTGGTTATTTTGGGTGTTTTTTGGGTGTTCATTTTTTTCAACTGGTTTTGTATATACTTATTGATTTGGGATTGATATTTATTTGGGTTAATTCGGGTTTCGGGTTTCGGGTTACGTTCGGGTGCAAAGTCCTACATTGTTTCAAAAGAGAACGGTCACTTTTCGCGCATATAATTGACGGCTGCTGTAGTGCAAAGGCCAAACTTCCCCCACCTTCATAGCCAAAGATCGTCAACGTCTTCGAAAAACGTCGGCTAGCAAGGGAGGGGGAGAAGTTTGGCCTTTGCACTGCCGCAGCCGTCAGTTGTATGCGCGGAAAGTGACCGTTCTCTTTTAATAATAATATATTTGCAACAATAACATACAATACATTTTGTGTTATACTTAAACAGTTTATAATATTGCAGCACCCCCTAAAAGCTAAGCTTGTGCTGGGGGAGCCATTCTTATCAATTTTATGAATACATGAGATCCTACCAAAAACATATATGTAAAACGAGAGCCAAGTTTAATACTATAATATATGCCTTGGTTGTTGACTTCAACGACAAAAGAAGTGAGATCTAAATGGTTGACAAGTTAGGATAATAAATTGAAGCCTAAGGTCGGACTTGGCTAGTTTTCATATACGAATTATTATTAAGTACCTGCTATAACAATAATGCAAGAGTGAAGATGATTTTCCGAAGAATAAAGTAAGGACTCAACGCTTTAGAACTTACGAAGGCTATAATATAATTCGTAGTGAAGTCAGACCTCAGGCATCAATATAATATTATCCTAAGTTGGCACCCATTTAAATCTCACTTCTTTTGTCGTTGAAGTCAACAGCTAAGGCATATATTATAGTATTGAACTTGGCTCTCATTTTATATAGGTAATATGTTTTTGACGGGATATCATTACTTTTGGTACGTAAATTATTATTACCTAACCAGTAACCTAACCAAGCCATGACGTATTCTATAAATAGAGTTTATTACTATATATTATAATTCAGTTAATAACATTAATAATATTTACCACGTGTGTCTAGACTAGTCATATTTAAATTTTAAATAATAGAATAAATAAATAATTTTTTTTTTTAAATTTTCATTATACAATAATATTAATTGAAAGATCTAATACTAATTTTAAATAATTAAAATTTGTATAAAAATGAACTTAAATTGAATAGTTAGATAGATCAAGGTGTTTCACGTAAAATTTAAACAACTCGAAACTTTTGAAGTGATCAATATTAATATTTAAAGAACGACATACACTTAGTCCTATGTGTAAAGCACTATTTTTACCAAATACTTTATTAACGTGTGGTAAATTTATATTAATATTTTTTTGTATCTAGTGCGTGCTCATGATTAATTGTTGATATTAAATTCTTATGTTTATACAGTTGCATCGAGATCGATAAATTATAATTATATTTAAAGTCCTTCACCCTTAGTTCATAATAAATTAAAATAGTACTAGTTCATATTGGTAGATTTAATAAATATTTATACCTTCCCATATTAATATACAATAAGAGTATACAGATTGTACTAATGTCGAGAATAATAACACCAAGGTATTTTGTTTCTTTAACCTATTTACATATTAATACATCTCGGACCATATATAATGAACTACTAAATTATTATTAATTACAGTGTTCGGGTCTTTCGCTTCAAAACACTTAAATTTTTATTTTATTAGATTTAACTTTAATTTGTTTTTACAAAACCAGACATAAACTATTTTTAACATTTTTGTTGCCTCATAGAATAAAGCATCTATAGTTTGTTCAGTTAGATGTATAGCAGTATCATCAGCAAAACTTATTAATTTGTTACAAGTATTCATTTCTAATTCAAGAAAATCATTTATAAATATAATGAACAATAAAGGTCCTAATACTGTTCCCTGTGGCACGCCACAATATATATGGCGATTATCACTATAGTCTATAATGATTATCGATCTTGACTTTCTGAGTCCTTTCACTTAAAAAGTATTTAATAAGATTATTTGGGATTCCATGTATAGGTACCTATTTTGAATAGCTTTCTGAGTAATATTTCCTGATTTACACTATCGAAAGCTTTATGTACGTCTAAGAAAATTGCCAAAACTTTTAAATTATCATCAATGTTTTTCCGTACAAAATTATCAACCTCAAAAAGTGAATGTTCAGTAGATAAACCTTTTCTAAAACCAAACTGATTTTTTGAAAAAAAGGAATTTTTTCTAAGAAGTCAAGCATTCTGCTCTTAATACATTTTTCGAAAATCTTAGATAAGGAGATTGGTCTATAATTTCTACTATATATACTCTATCACCTCCTTTAAATAATGGTAGCATTATAAATTTTTTAAAAGCAGAAGGATATGTGCCAGTTAAAAGGGATTTATTAAAAATAATTTTCTATCATAGAATGAAGTATGATTTTTAATTTTTCCAAGAAGTTTAATTATTTCTTCACGACTGATTGGATTAAAAAATATACCTTCAGTCAAATTAGATTTATCGTCAGATAATGTTGTATTTCGATCTATAAGTTCTATATCTAAATTATTTCCTACATTGACAAAAAAATCATTTAGTATACATTGCAAATATCTATTTTAGATTCTGTAATGACACCGTATTTTTTTGATTGTATTCTTAAACAAGACACTACAATTTTTAATCGATTTGTAAAAATTAAAAAAAAATATGATTTTGCACATGATTTGAAATGTTTACGATACCTAGCTGTAGGTAGTAGGTAGTAGGTACCTTTTGTAGGTCTATTTTTTTTAATACCATAGATATAAGTATATAATATGTCTTATACCTAGACTGACATACCGTCTCCTCTCAGAATCGTTTTTCTTATACAATGATATTATATCATTGAATTCAAATTTAATAACATCCATTATACAGTGACTTACTTGTAACCTACTAACTGTATACAGAGGCGTCATTTCAGTTTTCATTAGAGGGGGCAAAGGTTTTGACCGGTCCGAACGGGTAAAAAAAACAGCATGCTTCGCTTGCAAACACATTTTATCTATTTACATTTTTTTATGGTACCCTTTTTATCAACTAGGTAACGCCAATTTTAAAATATAAGGTAGCAAATATTTTATAAAAACAATTGTATACCTACCTGTATAAATTAAAAGTCTACAAACTATTATGGTGATATTTTATTGATAGACAAAAATATTAGTAGTTTATTAAAGGATAGGTATCTTCTTTTTTTAATTTTTGAAAATACATCAACTCCATCATCTATAAATCAGTCTTATTTGATTCATCGCGTCTTCTAGCCTCTACTCAATAGGTATACGATATATTTACCAATTCATATTGTTTTATTATTTTAAATTATAATATATTTTTATTTATTGCTTACTTACTGGTTTAAGTTTCGTCTGAAATCAAATATAACCATTTTTAAATTAGCCTGTCTTCTTCCCAGAGGTCTAATCTTCACACAATACACAAACATTCATTTATTTATAATGTATATAAATATAAATATGTATTGACAAAAAATAATAATACAAATCAACAAACATGCCCGATTAACCAATAATAGCAACCAATAAAATATAGTACACTGTTGCGCCACTGTTGTATTGTTTACATCCAGATTTCCCACTTTTCCGATGGATTTTCCTAAAATTTTCTTTCGTAAAAACCACGGACTAAGATATAATGGACTGGAAAGTATGTATACAAGAGGCAAATGCGGGGGATCGCTACCATAATCGAGAGTTTACAACGCCATCTGTATAAAACACGTACTGAGATACAAAATGTGACGCTAAATAAAACCACCGGTAGCGCTGAAAACATTCGATTATGAGTGTTGATGATAACAGAGGAACATTTTACAAGCGTCTAGTGACAGGGAATCCGAATGGCTGCAAGATGGCCGACTTCGTTATCATTATCAGTTATCACAGATTTTATTATCACTTAATTCTTAAAATAATATATTTCTTTCCTTAACCTTATTTCTACCCAAGTTGTATTCTAACTGAATTGTCTTTGAAAATGATGATATTCCAGTTAATTATTAATTAACATTGATTATTTGATAATAAATCTTAGGTTAAGAAAATAGAAATATAGAACAGTACTATACACACATTGATATTCTATAGTAAATTTTATAATGCACAATGAAATATCAAATATTGAAATGGATATATAAATGGTAGGTAATATGTAAATTCATATAATTCATAATAGCTATAATTAGTAAATAATAAGTAATAATTAGTTTTCAAATAAGTTATAATTGTTGTATGTTGGTCCTACTTTATACGGTATCTCTGCTCCTTGTCTGACCACATGTCCACATAATATTGTATAATAAAAAAGTATAATTTTGTGAGTACAATATTCAATATGATTAACATTTATAGTAACAATAATATATTAGTTAAATTCATAATAGTTACCTAGTTAATAATAATTTGTTGTAAAATAAGATATAATTATAAAAAAATAATGTTGTGAAATGCCAGTACAATAGTCAATATGATTATAATTAATAAGTTAATAAAATGCATAAAATAATAATTGTGAAATAAGTAATAATAAAATAAAAATAATAATTTTGTTATAAAATCAGTCGGTGTTTAATTATATTGGGGTAGGTCTTCATTTTGGTCCACATCCAATAATAGAGATGCAGCTATAAAATTTTGCTCTACTTGGTTTGGTACCTCAATGTTTAATGTGGCACACTGGACTACGATTTCAATTGCTGGAGAAATTGGATGAGCAACTTTTTTGTGTTCAGTCAAATTTTTTTGATGACAATATGACTTAGTACATTGGTCACAAGTATATATATATAAATCACTATTTTTCTGTTTTTTTGTTGGTGCTATTTCATCCAACTCTAAAAGAGGGTGATTTACTTTTATATGGGCTCTTAGGTTTTTTAAAAATTTAAACTTTTTTGCACACTCTATGCATTCGAATTCGTTTATGTCTGACATGTTCTTAAAAAACCTAATTGAACAAAATAAAATACTGATGCATATTTATTGTATTTACACAAATAATTATAATTTTTGAATTTGTTAATAAATAGACATCTTTTTTTGTGATTTTTTTATTTAATTAAATACTTATAATACCATAAACATTTCTACAATACATATTCAAATAACACAACCAAGAAATTTTTAATATACAAATGAGAATAATAATTAGATATTTATATTAATTATTATTATATATATATACAGGTTGCCCCAATTCAATTATGAAAACACTTAAACAGACATAAAAATTTACATTGAAAACAAAATAGTAATAGTAAAATAATTACAATACATTTATAATACAAATAAAATAAAATAGGAGTGGTGACAAGGAAAAGAAACCGGCCTGAGGAACTCCTGAAAAACATGGGCGTGATCCGAATTGCACACCATTAATCCTCATTCATCCGCAAACATAGAAAAATCCATATATCCTGAGAGTGACATTCATAGGCCTCCATAACATAATTAATGAAAACCATAAAAAAAAAGAAAAAAAAAATAAGATTAAAACAATATTCCAGGTTAGTACATCAAGAAAACATTTAAACTCAAGTAGTGGTGTAAACTTTCAAAGTATTATACATTTAATTAAACAGACAAGTTTTTTAACAATTAGTAAAAATTCATAACCTAACACGATTATTTTCAGAAGTATTTGATATACTGAGTTCATTTTACCTGTTCAATATTTAAAATAAAATAAAGTAATTAGATACTTTACTGTCACTATAATATAATAAACTTAAAAGAAAAAGACTTGGGTACTGGGTAGAAATAAGCTAAAGGAAAGAAATATATTATTTTGAGAATTAAGTGATAATAAAATCTGTGATAACTGATAATGATAACGAAGTCGGCCATCTTGCAGCCATTCGGATTCCCTGTCACTAGACGCTTGTAACATTTTGAGGGCCGTCCCCCGTCACCCGCCCACCTTATCGTTTCCAGTCCATGGTAAAAACCTTCTCATGGCAATTACGTCAATTACGAACATCTTAAAAACAATTTGATCCAAATCGCACCACCCGTTTTCGATTGATGAGGTAACGATAATTTTTCACGCTCCATTTATATATAATATATATATATATAGGTAGATAAGTAATAATTAGTAATGTTTAAGAGTATACCTATATAAGAAAAAAAGTATTCCGAATACTGTATTTGGAATACTACCCAGGTCTGGGATTTACAATTAATAAATACCTACTATTATTATTCGGTATATTTATATATAACGTAAACATGGGGTTTTTTTTAAGTTAAATAAATATGGCAAATATATTTATAAAAATACAACTCTTTAACCAGGGCAATGTATTCGGCCGGGACAGCTAGTGCATTTGTAAGAAAAAAATGTGTATGCTATATTATATAATAGCTAGTAATAAATATAATATATAACCAATGGCAACAGTCAGTCAGTTAGTCAGAACACGTTGGACTATATTTATATTATATATTATATTATTGACTATAGAGTAAGATGCAGTCAGAATATATTTCTTAAATTGAATTGCAGTGATAAAAACGGATAATAAATGAATTTAACTTATATTTCTCTTTTAATTATATATTATAAATACTTATAATTAATTTATAATTTTAGAATATATAGCTTATAGATAGTATTAAATGCAGATAGTATTTAAAATCATACTCTAGGATTTTGTTTTATAGGCTCCAGTTAAACACCCGGGATGGTCCGGCGTTTTAGAAGCTATTTCGGAAGGAGACAACAAATGCATGCAGTTCGCCATCATGAAGAACCACATCATCGGAAGCGAAGATTGTCTGTACCTGAACGTATTGGTGCCACAGGTCGTAAAAACAGTTCTTACAGTATAATATTATAGCATTGTATAATTTGTTAAATGTGTATGCAATATCGACGTAACTCACTGTTATTAGCAGAACGAACTGAATGAAAACTTGCTGTTATGATATTCATACACGGGGGCTCCTTCAATTATGGCTGTGGATCAGTAAATGAATACTCCCCTGATTATTTGCTCGATGAAAACGTGATTGTCGTTACACTGAATTATCGTCTGAACGTTCTAGGTTATTATTCACTGATTTACAATTTATACCTACTATTATTATTCGTCCAAATAAATATGTTTTAATTAGATACCTACAATATATAATTTAAAATGAAATGTACACAGTAATATTTCTAGCTTTTATGTGTGCGAAGTAGTAAATTATTTCCATTTAGTGGATTTTATGTGTATTTTAAGTTAAATATTATTGCGCACTCACTTCTAAATCGCCCGAGGTGTTGTCTCATCCAATACTCTATTGTTACTGCACTTCAATACAGTGGCGTACATACGGGGGGGGCTTTCGGGTTCAAACCCCCCCCCCAGGACCAAAAAAAAATAAAAAAAAATAATGTGATATTATTGATGAATTTCTTATTATTAATCAACCGTGTATACACAATTATACGTCATAATAATATGACTATTGAGTAAACAGTAAACACTATACTTAACCAACAACGAAAAAAGATTTCATAACGAAATTATGGGTGCCGTATAATATGGTATATCAATCAAAATAGACATTATTTTGATCGTACACAGTCAGTTAGTTGCGTGCGGATATAAATACATATTAATATTGTCCTTATCTCGACTGACTCATTATAAACACACAAGACTGGGCGAGTTAAGTTTTTTTTTTTTTAACTCAGTTAAGTTAATATGCATACACATAAAGATATAGTATATATTGTATTTTTAAGTACAGAAGTTACCTATCACATAAGTAATAAGTAATAAATAATAATAAATAAGTATTATATATTTTAGTTGTCTTTCAAACAGATATTATTTGTGTACATCATAATACGATGAGTAGGTATTTTTAATTTTAATGTTTTAACTATCAACGTGAATACTGTTAATAATAATTTTTAATAATAATTAATAATCTCACAAAACCGTAAAATCATAAAATCAATAGGTAATTGATTGATTTTTTTTTTTGTTTATTTTTAGATTTTAGTGTCGGCAAACTATATCATAATATTATGTCTATAATCTATATTATTGAAATTTTGACATGGCAACAAAATAGACTCAAATAATGAAATGTAAAAAAATAAAAAACAAAATAAATTAACTTACAAATAAAAAAATTAATTCGTTAATTTAACGTTGATTAAAAAATAAATTTAGTAAATTAGTAGTTAAGTTAAAATTATTATTATCACATAATAATCATTATCATTCGATTTCGATATATTTTAGGATTTGAAGGTAAAATAAATAGTAATCATGGCTGAAAAAAAACAATCGAAACTGCAATCTTTTTTTCGAAACCACCCTCAATAATGAATTCATTGTCAAATTCATTGAATGCAACTCTAACAGTTATAAGTTCCTCTAGTTCCTCATTACCATCAACTGCATCTGCATCTGATACACCTATCACTCAGTTTACACCTTCGACTACAGATATTAATCGTACATCTTCCAGTTATAATATTTTTGACATTGCACATTACACAAATAAATTGTTAACGCAAAGTGAAATAGAAGAAATTTTGAGCGAAATTTGGGTCCCTGATATTAATTACAACTTTCCTATCAAAATATCAGTAATCGGTAAACAACAAAAAGTTTTGAGCAGGGCTTAAAACCGTTATCAATTAAGTCGGTAATCGGCTCCGGTAGGAGCCGAAAATTTTTGAAAACCGGTAACCGGTTATCGTTTAATTTTGATATTTTGGTAACCGGTAACCGTTTCTTTAAAGATATTTCAAACACTATGATAACCGTTAATCGTTTAATAACCGTTGATTATATTTTTTGGTAATCGGTTACCGGTTAAAACCGGTTCTTAAAAATCATTTTTTTTCAATTTTTTAATCATATTTTTGAAACAGTTTATTTAGGTTATTCGTGGGTTGATAACATAACTATTATTATTACAAAATCAAAAACTTAATATGCTTTAATTTGGTCGATTTCCTTCAATTATTTAAATATTTATTTTTTCAAACTGCTTTAAAGTTTAAAACATATGATCAAGATAATGGCGATCTTAATAAATCAAAAAAATAAACTACATAAAAAAATGTTATTGTTATAATTTTCTTCTTTATAACCGTAAAAAACCGAAATAATATATAATAATTTTGTACTCATTTTTGTGAAGGGCAAAAATGTGTTTCTCCAAGTTTGACGAATGCTTACTTTTACTAACATTTACTACTGTTTTTATTTATATCATACGTAAAATACATTTCAAGAACAGGGTTCTTCATTTTTAATTTCCGTGTATAATATAGGTATGTAGTTATTCTTCAAATTATTTAAATCTTAACCCCTTTAAACACTTTAAACAACAGCTTTAAAATAATATCATTGACCAATGTATAAAATATAAAGTGTGATAGACAGTATTAAAATGTCGTAAATACTAAATGGACTAAATCCCTATTCCACCAACTATTTCGTAATAGGAATCAGCGCGCGAGGACGACGACGATGTTTATGACGGTATTTATAATATTAGTTATACAATTATACCTATATATATATTGGTTATTGATATTCACAACAAATAAGCAATACTCGACGACAATTAATTGGGGAAAAAAATTTAAAAATAGCTGGAAAATTAAATTCAACTATAATGTAATCATGACATAATTCAAGTATTGAATTCCACGAAAAAACCGTTAATTTTTTGGTCGGGAATAAATTTTGGTTATAATACCGGGATTGAAAAAACGAGGTAACCGCTTTGATGTTAATATTTAGATATTTACCTTGATAACCGATAACCAATAACCGCTTCCAGCATTCCAAAACTAAGAACGGTTATCGGTTTTTGGTTCTCAAATTTACGGTTATTTACCGGTTTTCGTTACAAACCGGTTACCGGTTTTAAGCCCTGGTTTTGAGGTAGAAATTTCAATATAAATGGCTAATTAACTTTCCCTGGTTGGCCTATTCAGAAGTACCTAAACAATGGTGCGTATTGCAAATATTGTGTTGCTTTTACTAAAAATGAAGCCGGTGTTAATAACCAAAAATTGGGAGCATTTGTATTAAAAAAATATGATGATTGGAAACATGCATTGGAAGACTTTAAAAATCATTCGAATTTAGAATATCACAATCAATAGAATTTTTATTATAAATAATTAATAATATAATATTTATAATATTCTGTACTTACTATGTGCATATTAAATAATATTTAACTGCCATGAGTTACGTAAACCTTTGTGTTTGTTTTGCTATTTTGCCTATTAATATTTATACGTGTAATGTGTTTGATTGTTAGGAAAATGGATAGTTGCAAAGAGAAGGTTTTAGTGCTGGTTATTTTTTTTAAATATCCCCCAGAGCAAATTTGAATGTACGCCACTGCTTCAATATAATAATATAACTAACGAAATTCATCATACATTTTGTGTTCATGATTTCTAAACTTGGATATTGACGAGTGTCCTGGTAACATGGGCTTGAAAGATCAACTATTTGCAATCAAATGGATAAAAGAAAATATAGCTGCGTTTGGGGGTGACGCTGACAATATCACTATCTTCGGTGAAAGCGCTGGGTCAGCGTGTGTTCATTATCACACGATGTCACCACAACTAACAGGTTAAATTTAAATATTTCAACATTGCAACTACAAACATTATAATTAATAATAATTGTCATAATTCATAATTCATAATATTACACTCCTCGGCAATACGCGATAATGTTTCGTGAATACAGGGTGATTCTTTTATCATTGAACACTCATTTTTTCAAAAAGTATTAATGTTTAAGAAAATATTTTTTTTGCATAGTTTCAAGTTATTAAAAAACAATATTTTTATTAAAAAATTATATTTTTAAATATTTTTTATCTTTTTAATTTTTTAAGTTTTTTACTTTTTTGAATGACAACATGTAATTTTAATTTGATATTCAAAAACAGAATATTTTTCTGAGTATTTCGATACATAAAAATTGAATTTAGGGCAATTAGTTTATGAGTTATAAGTATTTAAAGTTTAGATGAGCGGAGTAGAGTGGTACGGGGTTACCCCGCGAAATGTTTGTCCACTACTCCGCTCATCTAAACTTTAAATACTTATAACTCATAAACTAATTGCCCTAAATTCAATTTTTATGTATCGAAATACTCAGAAAAATATTCTATTTTTGAATATTAAATTAAAATTACATGTTGTCATTCAAAAAAGTAAAAAACTTAAAAAATTAAAAGGATAAAAAATATTTAAAAATATAATTTTTTAATAAAAATATTGTTTTTTAACAACTTGAAACTATGTAAAAAAATATTTTCTTAAACATTAATACTTTTTGAAATAATGAGTGTTCAATGATAAAAATATCACCCTGTATAATAAGTGTACAAAATACCTACCTATGTGTTTTAAAATAAGAAAGGGTAACTATAATATTATCACGTTTAAAATTATGATATTTTATCGAATATCAACTACTACAAGAACCCAAAAAAATTAATATTATATTCTCGATCCATATAGACAACAGGCTATATGGATATAATAGAATAGACCAAGAATGATATAGGTAGCTATATTTTACGTGTAATACACTAAAGCCAATATATTGTGTGCGAGAGAGAGTAGAGACAGACATTGTGAGGGCTATTATTATATGCCAATGATAAGTTATAATATCTTTGGTACAACCTCAGAATTATTTTTGATAAATCCGCAAATTTATATGTGATCATGATTCATGTTAGCTTCTCATATTTTGTATTATTTCTAGTGTGGTGAGCCATCACCACAATATTCCCTCTCTACGGCCCCCCTGCTGTGGTTGGCGACAATAACCCAAGTCCTGCATGTCACTCTCTGGTAACGACTCCCAACTCGTACACACGTACCTCACACGCACCCGCTCGAGACTCGAAATCCTTAGTCTTGATCCTCTGGGCCTAACGACCAACGAACACATCGACCTGACAAGGCCGTCAAATGACGTCAAGTCCGTTCACACACCCGTGCCCGTTTTGGTCGAACTACGACCGGTGCCCACACTCGCAGGAGTAATTTACCACCGCAGCACAACCGGCCCCCTTCATTGAAATTATAATCTTCACTCTGTAATAACTAATTCTTTTGATTCAATAAAAAAACAACTTCATACCTCAAAATCAACGTATTACCTACTCTCTTCATTCTCACAACCATCTCTCTACAGGTAACACAATCAATATGTTGGCAAGTTCAAACACCACACATCTTCAAACACTACAAACACCGTTCATCTTCAAGCACCTCGTAAGCCACACTAGTATATTCTAGTGTATGTCTATGATCAATATGAATACCTATTGTAAATTGTAATCGATGTTAGAATATAACAGAACACGATGATAACCGTTAACATTTTTAATTTGTTTTTATTTTAGGTTTATTTCAAAAAGCAATTATGCAAAGTGGATGTGCATTTAATATATGGGCGTTAAATGAAAATCACAGAATTGTGGCCTTTAAGTTGGCCAATAATTTAGGTTGTTTAAGTAATGATCCCGAGGAAATAGTAAAATACTTAAAAAACGTACCTGCCATTGATTTGGTGAAAGGAACTAAATTCAAGGTTTGTACATATTGCATTTTAATGTGTTTCTTCACATTTACCCGAAAGAAAATATTAATTAGGTACTTTGATTTTGAAACATAAATTTCGATATTATGTTTCTCAATTCAAATCAGATACATTTTATCACCCCTACTACTGGAATTCGCAGCTTTAATTTCCGTTTGTGCATAAATGCGCAGCCCATAGGCATGCTCACTGGGGCGGAGCCATTCGCTTTCAGTGTTTGTACTCTGTTGGGCCGGGAGCAAACTCTTTTATTTTAGAATCCATAATAAATAATAATATAACCAAGTCCCACAAAACAATACTTTTTAGAAAGAAAAAATAACATCATATTTTGTAGGCTTAATGGCACGTGACAAGAATTATGAAATTATTATCTATAGGTATATTATTTTCAATAAACATGCAAATGATAAATGTACCTACAATTAATACAATTGCTTGACTGTTTAATATAATTATTAGTTCGTAATATTTAGCCTATACCTATTGCTTTGTTTGGCACTACAGATATTTGACAACCTCCTATGTTCTTCCCACGGGCCACATGCAAATCCAAAATTGAACTTTATTCATATTTGTTACATAATACATACCATGTAAGAAAAGGCACTATTAACTATTTAAATAACTAAGACTAAAAAAAATGTTTGTTTCAAAATAAAAACTATACAATTATTATTAGAAAATTATTTTATCGTGAATTGAGCAAACCCATGCACTTAATAAAATTATATGCTACAAAGTCAAATTAGAGGATTCAGCCATATTAACTATTAACATATTAGAACAAATTAGGTCAGGATTGGTAGGTATACTCTGGAATTCTCAAAATAATATTGTTAAATCATTGATTGTTACATAATTAATTATTAATTTTATCTACAAAACATGATGTTATTTTTTTTTTCTTTCTAAAAAGTATTGTTTTGTGGGACTTGGTTATATTATTATTTATTATGGATTCTAAAATAAAAGCGTTTGCCCACGGCCCAACAGAGTGCAATCACTGAAAGCGAATGGCTCCACCCCAGTGAGCATGTCTATGGGCTGCTCGTTTATGCACATACGGAAATTAAAGCTTCGAATTCCAGTAGGAGGGGTGATAAAATGTATCTGATTTGAATTGAGAAACATATCGAAATTTACGTTTCAAAATCAAAAATGTGATAATTGCGGATAAACGCATGAAATATTCGGGTGGTGAGGTATGAAAAAATTGTATAATCTTTGTACCTAATACCTATTGATGAGTTATACCCATGATAGTCGGACTGGCCCGGACTGACCGCTAGTCCGCAATTGCGGACGGGGCCCTGGCTTAATGATGGTAATTGGGGGCCCCTGATTTTGTACCTATTAATATTATTATTATTTGTTTAGACTTTTAGAGTAAATAGAAATACGAAATAAACATTTTTTTTTTCAAATCAAGAAACGTATTTTCGTTTACAATCTTGAGGCGTTCTCAAAAAAAATTAAAATAATGACATTATCATTATCATTCTAACAATTTAATAGCTATCTAGTGTCTATATACAAATATGTATGATTGATTTTAAATAGTTTAAAATTGTTGTGACTATTAAGAGGATGTCAGTGCACTATTTGTTTTCTCTATCTGGCCCACGCTCAACATAGACAAAACGCAAAATCATTTTTTCTTTGTTTTTAAGTTATTTTAGAGTAAAATCACCCATTACAAAAAAGATAGAGAATAATATTTTTGAGGGAATGACATCCCGATTTTGTATTTTATTGTTATTTTACTTTGTATTCGACTTTCAACATAAATAAAAAAATGTTGTAAATTTAAATTATGTTTAAATTGTTTTGAGACAATTTTTAGAAAAATTGATATGTCATTAACTCAAAAATATTATTCTCTATCTTTTTTGTAATAGGTGATTTTACTCTAAGATTACTTAAAAACATAGAAAAAATGATTCTGCGTAATGCGTTTTGTCTATGTTGTGTGTGGGCCAGAGGGAGAAAACAAATAGTGCGCTGAAATCCTCTTAAATAATATTATATTATAATATTTATACGGGCGTATGCGTATGACTTGGTATTATTTCGCATTATAACTGAATTATTATATTTTGGATAAGTATTGTAGTTGTGCACAATTTGACACAATTTGAATCGGTGTTTTTACAGAACGTAATATAGGCATATAGCCAGTACAGGGGTTACGCTCCAATGGCGTAAATTGAGGGTTGGATAGGAGGGATTTTCCCTGTCTGATATTAAAAACAGTCCGATGGGGATCTCTGGTCGTCAATTTACTAAGGACCTGCAGAAAATGTCTTAGTATTTGAGAATATGCTCAATATAACTTCTATATTGAAAATATAGTAAAACCAGTTAATATATCGAGTGATTGAATATCAGTTAGGTACATAATGCTGTACCATTTCGCCTCGACCGTTTCGCCGACGGACCATTCGCCGCGAAGGGTTATCCTCCACACGAAATTTCAAAAATACCAATGATGTACCTACCTATCATTTAATATAGGTATAACCAGTGTCGGACTGGCTCTCGAAAAGGCCCAGTCCGCGATTTGGAAAAAAGGGCTCCCAACATTCAAATGGCAAATGTTTTGATCAGCCCAAAAAAAAAGCTCGCTTCGCTAGCAATCCAATTTTCATGTACTTAGTCACATAGAACATTTTTTTTCAATACAATTGCCATCTTTCATATTTATCATACAGCCATATAGGAACAAATAACTAAATATGTAGTACAGCGGCGAAACGGTCTGCGGCGAAACGGTCTGCGGCGAAACGGTCTGCGGCGAAATGTCCGGGTTCGCCCATGGTGTTACAGATAACTAAATATTTATCTAGATAAAGATAAAAGATAATTGGTTATAATTTATCTAGATACATATTAAAGATGATTAATAGTTTAATTATCTGGATAAAAAAAAGATAGCATTTTTTTTATTATTTACTGCGCTTATTATCTAAACTAACATTTATTTTTCAGTTATAATTATTATTTAGAATATATTTTCATTCAAATTTTTAAATAACATTTTATTGTTATAATCGAGTCATATTAATTTTTATTTTTGTCTAAAAATTTTACTGCTTTCATTATTTTTTTTTGGGTTGAGGCTTCGACAACTGAGGTCATTAGCCTGTGGAACTGTAGGGGAGGGTACTGTAGGTTTTGATTAATAATAATAATCGTGATTTCGATAGTGAAGTGGCATTACCATACATTATAATTACCTTTGCTAATAACTAATTTATTAAAAAAAAAAAATACCTACACCGTTTCGGGAAATCATTAAAGCCATAATTCATAAACATCTATTTATGTTTATTGTTAATTATATTAAAAATATAAGGGATAATAATATTAATAAAATATGCTGGCCAATCAAAATATCATTGTTGTGTACCTAGTACCTACTAAGTCTCCTGTAGTTGTGTCTATAATGTGTTTGTGCTTGTGGGTGCGCGTGTGGTATGTCCGTATAATTACCCGTATCGGACCATATACAATTATTAGAAATTACGTAAATAAGCAATAAAGAAAATTATTATTATAATTCAAGGCTTTATTTTCGAAATAAAAATTTACTATACCTTACTTTTTGAGGCTCGAATAAAAAAAAGCAGGTAAGTGGATGTCGCTCTGCTATACAGTAGGTTAAAAGTGGGTCAATGTATAATGGATTGTATTAAACTTGAGTTCAATGATATAATATCATTGTATAAAAAAAACTATTCTGAGCGGAGACGGTTTATCAGTCTGGATATTTAAAATTTTTATTATTTATTATAGCCTTTAAGTTGAAATAATATTATAATTTTTTATTCGTTGCTACGATGATAAACCAATCGTTAGAAATTAAAATCCCATTTTAAGCGGTTTTTCGTGTGGCATTAAATAATTAAGTATTGAGAAAATCAAAAAATGACCTTTCTAAAGTACCATCGTCCATCTTGATCCAATTTGCTTAAAGATAAGGTACTATATGTTGAAATCGAAGTAAAAATTCTAGTAAAAATTTTGTATACAGGATATAAAAAAAAAAATTAAAAAAATAAACACCATTGTAAAACCACTAGCTAAGTAGCTTCCTCGCTCCCCTCAGAATCTAAAAATATGTACCCATAATTTATTCATCTAGATGAATTGGGTTAGATAACACAATTATTCATCTAAGGTAATTCATCTGATAATCATTTTCATTTATTATCTAGATAAGATAAAAGATAATTTATCTAGATAATGCTCAACACTATTAGTGAACTACCCAAACTCACGCTTCATCTTTTAGTCTCGGAAGCTTACACTTACCATGACATGACATTTTGGGGATGAAAATGATAATTTTGGGGAACTGGAACCGAGACCGAAAGAACCGGCACTTGAACAGGTTTCAGAATTAGCTCAGAAAAAACTGGAACTTTTTAACACATATTTAGAAAAATCCTCATGATATTAATAAAATAATAAAGTGCACACAGTACAACTATTCGGTCAAAAAGTAAATTTTGAGTAAGAAAACTATTGCACGTGTTTTTTAATATTTAGGTAGGTATTGACGTATTGTATGCGTATTTTTCAAACGATCCGACCCTGTTGGTAAAATAAATAGGTATAGATAATATTATTAATTATTATTTATTTTTAAAGAATGGCACAGATTATCTGGATTACAAGTTCGTACCATCTATTGAAAGTGCCACTGTCAGTTATCCATTCTTACCGGCTCATCCTGAACAATTAGTCAACGATAGATCTCCAATACCCGTAATTATTGGAGTTAACAATATGGAAGGAATGGTAGCATTAAGTAGTAAATATATTTTTAATTAAACTATATTAATAATAATAATATAAGTAACTAATATTATTTAATTATATTTAATCTGAGAACATACACAATATACATTTTTTAAATAACTAAAAATATTAGTTATGAGTAGTTTTACCTAAAATACCTAATTCTTGTATAATGCAATTCAATCAAATATAGGTACCTACAAAAATAAACAAAAATATTTCATATAATAATCACATAACTATTATGAAGATGAGTTCTTCAAGAGTACCTAATAATATTTCAAAATAAAAGTATTTAAAATATATTTTTATAGATAATAGCAGTAGCGTACGCAGGGTTTTTAATGGGGGAGAGGGGATTGAAAATTAGTTACAATTTTATTTTTATTTTGTCCAATCTAAAAATTTCTGACGTTTATTTGAGGTATTTTAAAATGTTTGTAACTTCTCAACTTTTCTGGTAGAAAACATGCTCTGATCATGAACTTCGATGCCCGATGTATGGTTTTTACTTTTTAGAGCAAATTGGATCTAGTTGGTATTTTAGAAGTTTCAAATTGAAAATTCTCAATGCTTTTTAAAATAATTGGAGAAAAAAAAAGAAAATTTGTTAAAATTGTTTGGTAACCAGTTTGGTTATACCGACCTTACTTGGATTGTAATTTTTTTTTTCAATGAATGTCAATAAAAAGTAGGTATCACTTATATTTACATTAAATTACGTTAAAACTTGTTTCACTATATCTGATAGAGTCTATCAAACACAAAACAATATATTGACTGAATAGTGAATAGTGAATAATAATTTAAAAAAAATTCTATTTTGCATACAGGTGCAAGCCATGCGGACGAAATTAATTATTTGTTCCATAGTAAACTATCTGGGGTCATTCCAAAACCCAACTCTCCGGAACTCGAAATGTGTAAGATGATGGGTAAGATGTGGTCCAATTTCGCGAAATCTGGGTATGTTGAATTCGTATAGTTTATTATTAACATTATGATTCCGTCAAAATGTGACTGGATGTATTAAGTACTATTAACACATGGGGTGAATTAACACGTTCGATTTGGTTTGATTTTAGTGATCCAAATTCGTCGGATTTAAGTTTCAAATGGGTTAACGCGAGCGCAAGTGATCCAAAATATCTGTCAATAGATGGAGACAGGACATGTATGGCCGATGGGATGATAAACAGCAACAGGTTACGTCTTTGGCAAGAGATATCGGAATCCGTTGTTTAGGCGATTACAAAAATATTTTTTGTCTTCAATCATACTTAATTATTATAATATATACCTACACATAGTTTTGTAAAGTATTCAAATACTCTTTTTACTCGAATACTATTTTAAATGCTTTTTGAAAAAACTATTCGAAAACACTATACCTAACATATTATTATAAGAAATAAATAAATAATTTAGGCAGTTGTGCACTTATACAGTAGTACAGTGAGTTCTACATAATACCTAGCAACAATTCAAAAACAAATTGAAAACCTCTCCACGAGAAATAAGATTGCCAGAAAAATCCAAAACCAACTCCATAACCTTTTTTTTTTTTTCCGGTTTAATCGAGAGCCGGAGAAGAAACTGTTGCTCACATTGCTTCTTCTAACTCACATTGCTTCTTCTAAAGCTCACATTGCTTCTTCTAAACCCACATTGCTTCTTCTAATCACATTGCTTCTTCTAAATACCAACTCCATAACCTAACAAATTCTTTATATTCTATTATCTTGATGTAGGTTCCAAGTAAAAATCAAACCTTGGGGATCAAAAGAACTAATGAAATGACAAAAACCCACTAAGCAGTTCCAGCAATAACTTCCTCAGATGTTATTATACATATAATTATTTCACCTTTAGCTTAAGCTATAATTAAGACAATCTCGAACAACATATGGCTACGGTCGCACGGATTCAAGAATTTTCTATATTTCTATATTATACATTTGCTATAAATGTAAAAAAAAAATATTTACACCGACAAAAACATTGAAAATGTAATACAAGGTTCCTCATGAGTTGTTAATTAAATACTGCAATTAAAAATATCAAAAATATATAGTAATCAATTTTTGATTTGATAACTGCAAAAGTTAGAGTTTTGACAATATTCATCAAAATCTCAAGTTTGCAAATTTTTTTGTAGTTAAATATTTATAACATTTTTTAATATTCATACTTGAGATTTCATAACTAAATACAATGTTTCCCATAAGTTGTTATTGTTATTTGATTCTAATAAATAAAAAGTTGAAAGTAATTCTACAAATTGTTTTATGTGCGTTATATTATAAGTTATAATTTATAACAATATTATGTGCGATACGTATTAATTATGTCGGGGCCCGGGACTGCAGAACCCCTCATCCTTTAAGTAGGGCTGTATTAATATTTACGGGTAGGTTAATTTTATTAAGTATATTCAAATTTTATAAATTGAACTATTCTTACTACTTTTGATAAATATAAAATGACATTTTGAATCAAAATTATCATCAAACAATCTTAACCCACATGCATCAAACGAGGGCATAAAAGTCTGTGATATTGAGACTATCCACTCGCAATTAACGTTCATGAAGTTGGCCTACCTAAATACTGCAATTTTTCTAAATTATATGCCATTATTTTGCAAGTTATTTGCAAGTATTTGCAAGTACAAACTTTCAAATTGAAACCAAAAAATTTAAAGTTGGTCCAGCTTCACGCAGCCCACCCATTTTGACCCAAAACTTCGAAATTGGTATCAAATAGAAGCTAATGATTAGCAAGTATTTGTAAGCCCCTTTTGAAATTTTCAAGGAACTTGGGCGGCCAGTAAGAGCTTTTAAAATTTGGTATTTAGCTAACCCAAGTATTGTTCCAGAACTTCAAAGTAGGTATCAAACGAAAGCTTATGATTATCAAGTATTTGCAAGTTTGTATTTAGAATTTGCAAGTTACTCGAACGACCGCGATGAGATTTGAGTTTTGAAGTGGGCTCACCCAAGTTGTCCTAGAACTTCAAAATATATTTATCACTCGAAATCTAATAATTATGGCAAACATTTGCAAGTCACTATGGCGGCCACCTTTAGATTTTGAAGCTGGGAATTTTGGCCCAACCGTTTCGATTGAGAATTTTATAATTGTTTATCAAAAAACGCCAAGGATTTTAACCTATGCGCAAGCTCGTACATTACCCTACGAATGACTTTTCCCAAATTTTAGATTCTGAGTGGAACGATGAATGTATTGATTTTATAATGATGTGTGTTTTATTTTTTATTTAAAAAATTTTTTTTTGTGTCTGTCATCACCTTTTAGGACAGTAAAAACGATTATAATTTATTAATTACGATGATTGATAATTTTCGAGATTTTGATAAATTTTGTCAAAATGCGATCTTTAAATGCTTATAAAAAACAATTGTGCCTATGTATTTTTAATATTTTTCAATTGCTATTGTAACAATATATCAGGAGCCTTGTATTAATTTTTTACACTTTTTGGCCCAACAGATAAAACTTTATTGATATTTATAGAAAAAAAAACTAAAAAAATTAAAAACTGAAAATGTCCGCAAACAGCTCAAAATGTGTCAAAATATTTTCAAAATTGTATGGTGTAAAGGAACTGCTAGTATAACATTCGGTGAAATTTTCATGTATCTACAGTTATTCATTTTTGAATTACAACAAAGTAAGGAAATCGCTACAAAAGAAATCGAGTGAATATCCATTGTTTTAAAAATTTGAATTTCAAACGGTCATAAAAATTAACGGTCAAAGTCTTATAAGGAATCTTGTATTACATTTTAAAATCTTAGATTTAAAAAGAAAAATTTAAACGAATTCTTAACTCAAAATAATTTGATAATTTTCGTGATTTTCCACATTTTGTCAATTTTTGAACTTTAAATGCTTATAAAAAAAAATTGTGACTAAGGATTTTTAATATTTTTTATTTGCTTTTGAAACAATATACTATAATAGCCTTCTATTTAATTTTCAAGCTTTTTTAACCAACAAATAAAATTTTATTGATATTTTTAGAAAAAAAGCTAAAAAAATATGGAAAATGAAAATGTTCCTAAACACTAAACAGTTCAAATCATATCATAATATTTTGAAAATTGTATCGTGTACAGAAAAACAAACATTTAGTCAAAATTTGATGTATCTACGCGCGGTCATTTATTTAAGAGTTGCACCAAAACCAAAATAATTTTTTTCAAAAACAAATTTTGTGTAAAAATTCCCGTTTTATTTTAATTTTTCTTTTGTTTTTCACTGCGCTTTTTTGAATTATTATGAGTATTAGATCTATAAAAATCCAATTTTGGACAAGTAATTTATTACCTAGTACCCGGTTCCTAACACTTATAAATATTTTAATTTTTAAGAAATTGTTGTTTTTAGTGACTTAAAATGGTGTAAAAAAACGTTCAAAGCTTATGAAATAATTAGTGTCTTACATTAAAATTAATATTTAATATCCAACAAATTGTCATATTATATAACATTATATAATATTATCTAGTATATTTACTCGTCTTGAACACGTTACAAATACTTTATTTCTATTGATAATATATTATGCCCTATAGTGGGCTCTGTGCAATAACATATATGCATAATATACATCATTATATATATTTTGTTAGCTAGTTAGCTAATATTATCAGTGGCGTATTTAGGATTTTGTCATGGGGGGGATATGATTTTATCCAGTACTTATCAACTCGAGGGGGGCTCCGCCCCCCTCACCCCCTAACTTTAAATACTTAAATATAAAACTACAATTTTACTACAATTTTTTTATTTTTATTTTACAAAACAAAGTCTAGTTTTCTAGATGTTTTGGACAATTGAAGGGCTCTGTGCAATAACCAGACAGCTCCGTTTTATCATTTTTTTCAGGAAGCACATATTTAATGTTTAATATATATTTAAGTGAAGAATAATAAAAAGAAAAATTATTTTATATACTTAAAATAATGATAAAAACTGTGGTACCCTTAATTAAGACATGAATATTTTTTACACTTTTAGCCACAAATAAGAAATTTTTCTTGGAGTTGTCTTGTTTATTGCTCGGAGTTATTAAATCTTTTTTTTTTATTTTTTTTATAATGTAAAAATCTTACTAAGAATTAGTTTTTTTTATTTAACTGAGTTAATAATTATCATGTAATTATACTATCAAACAGCATACTTGAGTTTTAAGAAAAAAAAACTAAACCTGTACATGATTTTAAAAATAAACAAAAAAATAGTTATAATTTCTGGACAATAAACAAGATAACTCCAAAAATGATTTATTGTTTTTAGTTTTAACTCTGATAAATATACAAATAAATTTATTAAAATAAGCTTAGTAAGTGTATAGAAGTCATAAGTTTTTCCACTAATAATATTTAGCTATATATAGTTTAAATATATTACTTTATGAATTTTGTTTATTCTTCAGTAATATTTCTACTTTAACCACTTAGTATTATGTTAACTGAAAAATTAAATTGTTATTCATTTAATTTTACATAAAAACTGGCTATCATACCTTAAAGATAGCGATAGGTAATAATATTAGTCATAGTAGAATGTAAACACATTTAACTACATTATAAATGATATGAACATAGTAAAAGATAGTAAAATAAAAATATTAGTAACATGGATATTTTATTTATCAGCTTGATTTTATCAGTCATTACATATAATATCTTACAACAAATAAAATAATAAAAACCAATGAAATATTTATAACAAAACTATTAATTAACTTGATTTTTATCAATCATAGTTAAACAGTAAAATATTTGAAACAAAACTAATGATCTCCTTGATTCTTAAATTTTATAATAAAAATAATAAATAATATCACTCATAATAATTCAAATTTGAAATCTTAAACAAAATTATACTTCAAAACAATAAAATTAATAAAACAAAACTAATAATCTCCTCGATTCTTAAATTTTATAATAAAAATAATAAATAATATCACTCATAATAATTCAAATTTGAAATCTTAAACAAAATTATACTTCAAAACAATAAAATTAATAAAACAAAACTAATAATCTCCTCGATTCTTAAATTTTATAATAAAAATAATAAATAATATCACTCATAATAATTCAAATTTAAAATCTTAAACAAAATTATACTTCAAAACAATAAAATTAATAAAACAAAACTAATAATCATTTTGATTTCTTAATATTCTAAAATATATTTTCTTTAATATT